TTGCAATCCAAAACAGTCCAGTGGAGCCTGAGCGGTGGGTGTTGCCTTCTGACACACTTCTGGTGATGTCAGGGGGTGTGGTATGTGCAAATAAGTTATGCTAATGAGTTATGCTAATCAGCTCCTGCACGTCTTTTTCTACGAAATGACCCCTGGGTCCAGAAATCCCAAAGCATAGCTCTTAACCTGGGATTGGTGAAATGCCTTGAAACCCAGGCCTGCAAAGCGAAAAGAATGCCTCTATTTCTTAGTACTGTGCTAAAAAAGAATATTCATTTATGATATTTCTATGCCACCTCTTTGCAACCTGCTTGAGGCAGCTTCCAAGTAAAATCATGGAACAATAGAAAATTACAAGCCATTAAAAACAAGTTGTTGGACATAAACCTAAAACAGATCAGAAAGCAAATTATTTTTAAAATCTGGTAAGATAAATCCCCTAATTAAAAGCCTGTGTAAAAAAGATGTGTTTTAGTCTGGGGCCTAAAAGAAAGTAAAGAAGGTACCAGGCAAGCCTCAAAGGGGAGGGTGTTTCAGAGGTGAGGGGCCACCACAGAAAAAGCCCTGTCTCTAGGCGGAGGCACAGAGAGGATCAGGCCCGTAGCCAGGATTTTTTAAAAATTTGGGTGGCCTTTGAATGTCAGGGGGCCAGGCCCTGAGATGCCCCCCCCCCCTGTGGCTATGGGCCTGGAAAGGATTTAAGAAGCAGATCTCAGGTGGTGGGCTGGACAACATGGGAGGAGATTGGTCCTCTGTGTACCCCGTCCCAAAGTCATTTTTGGCCTTAAAAGTAAGAAGCAGAACTTAAAACTGTGCCCAGAAACAGATGGGCAACCAATCTTTTATTCAGAAGACAGCACAGAGCTATAATCATAGGGAGAAACTTCAGAGAAATACTCCCATCGTGAATGAGGACACTGAAGATTAAAACAGATAAATCCTCTTGCAAGGATCTCCTGGATGGAAATAAGATGTGTCGTCCATTAGGCAGTACCATATCTGCCCCACATGCACATGCATGAACGAACGATTACCCGCACAAGGAATAAACATGGATTTTAAAGCTCCAGAAAAAGAAATGTACCCCAGCCGATGATGGTGTACCAGTAGAAGTATCTCTTCTCCGGAAAGAACGTCTGCACCAGCAAGGTGAAAAGGTACAAGCCCTCAATGAAGAGCCAGAAATAGTTGGACATGACACAGTAGTGGAAGAAGACCATCACCGCTTTACATTCCACCTGCGGAAGACAAGCGCAGACTTTCAAAGGCCCGGTTGTTTTGGTCTGAAAAGTTCTGTTTCGGCCCATACAAATGAACACACATTCGCCAGTTTAGTGTAGTGGTTAAGTGCGCGGACTCTAATCTGGGAGAACCGGGTTTGATTCCCCACTCCTCCACTTGCACCTGCGGGTGTGACCTTGGGTCAGTCACAAGCTCTGGCACAGCTGTCCTTGAAAAAGAGCAGTTTGTGTCAGAGCTCACTCAGCCCCACCCACCTCACAGGGTGTCTGTTGTGGGGAGGGGAAGGGAAAGGAGTTTGTAAGCCGCTCTGAGACTCCAAGTGAAGGGCGGGGTATAAATCCAATCTCTTCTTCTTCTTCTTCTTATACCGAATCAAACCACTGGTCTATCAGGGTCAGTACTGTCTATTCCAGGGCCCCCCGAACTTTTTGAGCCTGTAGCCACCTTTGTACTTATTGATTGATTTATTAGATTCATTAATCGCCCGCTTCCTGCTATTGCCGGGCTCTGGGCGATGTACAGTATCCCTAAAACCGACCGAGACCTGGGTGAGGGAGAGGGAGACAGTGGCTGTCTCCCAACTTGCCCCTCCTGGGTTTGCAGTCCTTCACCAATCTCGGACTAGGGGCCAGGGGGGAGGAGTGGCACTATTCATTCGGGAGGCTTACTCCTTTAGGAGCCAGTTTGGTGTAGTGGTTAAGTGCTCGGACTAATCTGGGAGAACTGGGTTTGATTCCCCACTCCTCCACTTCCACCTGCTGATGTGACCTTGGGTCAGTCACAAGCTCTGGCACAGCTGTTCCTGAAAGAGCAGTTTGTGTCAGAGCTCTCTCTGCCCCACCCACCTCACAGGGTGTCTGTTGTGGGGAGGGGAAGGAAAAGGAGTTTGTAAGCCGCTCTGAGACTCCCAAGTGAAGGGCAGGGTATAAATCCAATCTCTTCTTCTTCCCTTCTAGGGCGCTTCCGCCTCCGAGGATCACGGGCATCGAGTGTGCTGGCCTGGTTTGGGAGGTCAGGGAGAGTTTGGCGATTTGGCTGGTGTCCCTGATGGAGGCAGGGACTGTCTTGGGTGATTTCAATGTCCATGCTGATGACGCGACCTCCACTCAGGCAGCGGATCTGGTGTCATCCATGGAGGCGCTGGGACTCTCCCAATATGTAACGACCTCCACTCACCAGGCTGGGCACACGCTCGACTTGATCTTCGTGGCGGGGGTAACAGTGGACCGGATTACTGCTTCGGCAGTTCCACGGTCAGACCACCATGCCCTGGGGGC